AATTTTAGTCTCCATAAAGTTTCTATTGCATATTTTATTCTTCAATTTTTTTAAATTGAGCAATTTTAGTCTATTATTAATATGCTATCCAAATTCTAACAAAAGTTGATGAAATGTCCGGTATACATACCAGGTTGGCTTTAACTTACTAAGTCTTCTATCAAATATTAATGTAACAACCTAATAGGTCATTATACTTGATATTTTTTTTCTGGGTTTGCACCGGTGTTCTAAGACTTCATCTTAATTAGACTAATTTGACTCAATCGAGAGATAAGTAAAGTCTAGCAAAGAATTGTTTCCATCAAGGATCAAATTCAAACACTACCCAAATGATTTATATATATATATATATATATGAGGAGAGATCCGTTTATTTTGGGAGTAAGTTTACTTATACTTATTCTGTTCATGCTCTACATCAAATTTCAACGATCCAACCGTTGAATTTAAATTTTTTAATGCACAAATCAAATATACAAATTCTTAAAAAATTTGAAAATCATTTGATATTTCGTTTCATTAATTCAAATTGATGGATAATCATAAAATCATTTTATACATTGATTTGAATTAAAGAAAAAAGTATCAAATAGTTTTCAATTTTTTTTTAAATTTACAGATTCGATCTATGCATTAAGAACTTTAAATTCAACGGTTGGTTCATTGAAATTTGATGTAAAACATGAATTATTGAACAAAGTAAGTTTAAGTAGACTTACTCTTGGAGTAAACGTGTAACGACCCGCCATGGCCGTCACACTACGAAACTACACTACACACTACTGGAATATATACTAAAATAGTATAATAAAATAATTACAACCCGAGTTGCTAATCAAGCAACTAACAGAAAATAGTTATATACAACAAAATATGCTACTATAAGGTAGCCTACAAAAAAATCCAACTCCAGGCACTTCCTGTGGCCTCTAGCAGTTATCTCCCAGCCTATCCTTACCATGCTTGATGTATGATCATCGCAGTCCAAACTACATGGAAACATGCAAGGGTAAGCTAGAAACAATAAACAACTTATAATAATTAAATATGCAACAGAACAACTATATAATCATCTTCACATCCAACATAGAAGACAATAACACATATACTATACATCTTAGGGTCATTTCAACTTAATTCAACATATCAACACTGTATCAACACTTCAACGCAACTAGCCATTGGAATAGTTACCATATTCATCATAACAACAACCAACACATGTATTGCACACCTCTCAACAACATATGTTTAAAAGAAACTTACAACATAACAGCACTATCATCATCTTTAACAGTGTCAACATACAACACATAACAACACACAACTCAATCACAACTTCACAACACAACAACACATATACAACTCATATCAACATTAATTAAACACATCAACAACTTATGTGTCGTCACGCATTTTAACTCGGAGATCTCCTACAACATGGGTGAGCAGTTTAAGTGGCTAGGTCCTACCCAACCGACAGCAAAGAACCTTTTTGGGCTTGCTAGGTAAACAACAAATTTGGATGTCAATCCACAACACGATAATAATTTCTCAGACTTCGCCACTTAAACAAGGAAGTATAGTACTATGTCAGGATAGAATAGCTAGGTTTAGGCCTACCATGGCATTAGCTAGCTCAACTAAGCCATCTATGGGATTAGCCTACCGACTATCCTCCAAATACTACAACCCTCCGATACTCGGTTAGGAATTAAGTTCCTGACTTCGTACTTTACTCAAATTGGCCGCTTGTAATCGGTATAGCTCGACCTGGCCCCTATACCGTGGTCGCTTTGTACACGTGTGCCTCGACCTTGCCCACACACGGGACCGACTAAGTCCTAGAGGAGAACAGCATAACGTCCACTCCAAGGGACAACTTCCCAAGGAGGGTTTTCAACAAATTGGGCTTTCTAAGCACCACAACTTTCTCAATCCACACAATGGGCTGAGCAACTTTGAAAACATCTCCTTTAATCCTAGTGATCAAATTTGGTTGCTTGTAATCGGTATAGCTCGACCTGGCCCCTATACCGTGGTCGCTTTGTACACGTGTGCCTTGACCTTGCCCACACACGGGACCGACTAAGTCCTAGAGGAGAACAGCATAACGTCCACTCCAAGGGACAACTTCCCAAGGAGGGTTTTCAACAAATTGGGCTTTCTAAGCACCACAACTTTCTCAATCCACACAATGGGCTGAGCAACTTTGAAAACATCTCCTTTAATCCTAGTGATCAAATTTGGTTGCTTGTAATCGATATAGCTTGACCTGGCCCCTATACCGTGGTCGCTTTGTACACGTGTGCCTCGACCTTGCCCACACACGGGACCAACTAAGTCCTAGAGGAGAACAACACAACGTCCACTCCAAGGGACAACTTCCCAAGGAGGGTTTTCAACAAATTGGGCTCTTTGAGCACCACAGGTTTCTCAATCCACACAATGGGATGAACAACTTCAAAAACATCTCCCCTAGTCCTAGTGATCAACAACTCATCATCACAGCTTAATCATCTTACAATTTAACAGCACAGCTCAGTTCAATAACTTAGATAACATGATCAACTCAATAACACAACTCAACTCAGCAACTTAAACAACACAATTAACTCAATCAGCACAACTCAACTCAATAACTTAAACAACATGCTCAACTCAATAGCACAGCTCAGCTCAACATCTTAAACAACATGATTAACTCAATCAACACAACTCAACTCAATAACTTAAACAACATGATCAACTCAACAACACAACTTAGCTCAATAACTTAAACAACATGATCAACTCAACAACACAACTTAGCTCAATAACTTAAACAACATGATCAACTCAACAACACAGCTCATCTTAATAATTTAAACAACATGATCAATTCAATCGTCATAAAATAATATCTTTCAACACATAGTACAACATACAACTTTATAGCAACATACAACTTTCCTCTAACAACTTAGCAACACAGTCTACTAGTAACTTCTATATAAATCTCATCATATTTCACAACATAATTAGCCAACTCATAACATAAAACAACTTTAACCACTTAACTTCAACAGGCTTCAACAATATCATCAATTCAACATATAATAGATCAATAACTTCACAACATACAACATATTCAACACATAATACAACTCACCCATCATGTTTACAACTCATCTATCATGCCAACCTACACAACATATACAACATGAATTAACCTACACACCCAAGACAACCTTCAACTTATCCAAATCACTCCATGTGAAATGGCAACCTTTACATAAAATAGCATATCGGGAGTTATACTACTCCTATCATGCTCACCCTTATCTCATATGAAAGATAAGAAGATTTCCTACAACTCTCATGAAGACACCAAGTCCTACTTCCTTCATCTACCTTGTTAAAAATTCTAAAAACCGCAACAGTTATAACCAATGCTGGCAACTTGACCCCTATTCACTAAAACAACCATATATGGAGTTCTAGAACTCCTTTTTAGGTGATTCTGGTGCCATTGAAAAAGTTAACATCCAAGGCTACAACTTTCATAAAGACCCTAAGACCAAATTCGGTCATTTAGCCCCAGTGCTGCAGCGCTCAATCCAGCGCTTTAGCTTCAACTCTCTGCCAATCCATTTCCTTTCCACGGCCATGGCTGCAAGTTTCTACCATTCTAATTTTTTCCACAGCTATGGCTGCAAAACCACAGCCATGGCTGCAAGTCTCTATCCTCACGTTTTCCCTTCCCACGACTATGGCTGTAAATCCACAGCTATAGCTGTGGGGTTCTAGAAGCTCATTTTTCCTCCACGGCTATAGCTGTGAATCCACGGCTATAGTTGTGGGTTTCTGAACTTCCAAAACTCAATCCTCCATGAACCTGCAATCCAAGGAGACCCAAACCATGCTACAACTCAAATACACCACTACCAACCACATGCAACCCAAAAACAACAAGAATCACAACATGCATGCACCAAGATTCAAGAGATCATCAAGAACAACCACAAGGTTTCAGCTTTACCACATGCAACCAACCTGGCTCAATTAATAAGCCCAACTACATGCAAGCCAAAATGTATGACAAATTCGAGTTCTAGCTTCCCTTATCTCAAATCGAAAAGAGAATCCGAGCTTTGAGTTTACAGGGAATAAGAAGAAGAAGAAGAAGAAGAATGAAGACAAGGCTGTGACTTTGAGCTTCCTTGCTCTTCAATCTTTAGCAACCTTCAAGAAAATCAATGGAAGAGATTTTCTAAAGAAAGAGTGAAGGAGGAAGAAAGAATAGAAAGGAAGGAAAATGAGTAGGAGAGGATTCGTGGGTCTCACAAAACGAATCCCTCCTATATATATAAATATATTCTAAATATAATATTATTTGAAACAAAAATTTATATATTATTTAATATATATTTATATTCATAATTATTTTATAATATTTAATATAATATATTTATTTGTGTATATAAATATTATAAAATTTAATTATATTTAATAAATATTTGCATAGAGATGACAAATAAACTCGTACATGTGAATAATGTCTGAACTTGTCTCAACTTTAATAGAGAAATCTGATTTGATTGAACACAGATACGAGTAATACTAGATTTATTGAATCAGTTGTGAAGATGAATATATACATATCCACCTTGTATCTACTTTAAATTAATTTATAAAAACTTAATTTTTTTAGAATTTATATTTATGTAATTTTTACTTTATTTTAAATAAAACTTAATTATTTATAATTATTTTTTTATATATTAAAAATTATTTTTTTTTATATTTTTTTCCCAAAAAATATTCAATTATTTTATTGAAAAAGATACAATGAAATCCAATATAACATATTAATTTAAGATTTTTTTTTCTTTTGTAAGAAAATACAGTGACACTGACATATGACATACGTGGTACAAAGCAATCTACTCCCGAAGACGCAAACAAGGGATTCTAAGTTCTACGCTTCTACTTCCACGCTTTATAAAGACTCTCTCATTAAATTCAATTTCACAAAACACGAAAACACAAAACGTAACTCACTACTGCTTTCATCTGCACGAAACCCTAATTCCCAAATCCCTTCGTCGCCATGGACTTCTCCAACGCCAAGAAGCGCAAAGTGGAAGAGAACGGCGACGCCGATTCTCCGCCGCCGCAGTCCCGCGACGAAGCCACGGTCTCCGCCGCCGCCACTCTCTCCGCGGAAGACATACGCAAAATCCTCCAACCCTTATCCTCGGACCAACTCGTCGACCTCCTCCAATCGGCGTCGCTCCGCCACCCCGACGTCCTCGACGCCGTGCGCGCCGTCGCGGACCGCGACTCCACCTCCCGGAAGCTCTTCGTGCGCGGCCTCGCCGGGGAGACCACCACCGAGACGCTGCGCGGCGTGTTTTCCGCGTACGGCGACCTCGACGAGGCCATAGTCATTTTCGACAAGGCCACTGGGCGCTCCAAGGGCTACGGCTTCGTGGTGTTTCGCCACGTGGATGGTGCTATCCTTGCGCTGAAGGATCCCAGCAAGAAGATTGATGGCCGCATGACGGTGACGCAGCTCGCCGCCGCCGGCGGTCCCGGTGGCTCCGGCGATGTCTCCCTGAGGAAGGTCTTTGTAGGGAACGTCCCCTTTGAACTTTCCTCGGAGCGTCTTCTGGACGAGTTCCTCAAGTTTGGGGAAGTGGAGGAAGGGCCTCTAGGGTTCGACAAATCTAGCGGCAAAACCAAGGGTTTTGCCTTCTTTGTTTACAAGACAGAGGAGGGTGCTCGAGCTTCACTGGTGGAACCTCTTAAGACCATTGATGGGCATCAAGTCATATGCAAGTTGGCTGTGGATAACAAAAAGGCGAAACCCTTTGGTGGGGATCAGCATCAGCATCAACAGCAACAGCAAAATCAACATCAGCATCAGCAGCAACAGGTGCCGCAGGTGCAACAGCAAGGGCCTGTGGTGCAGTATGGTGGGTATGGCGTGAACGGCTACGGGATGCAGCACTCGGTGGCATCGTATAATAACCAGGCTCCGGTTGGTGGATATGGCCATGTTGGTGCAGCGTATGGGAATGCACAGATGAGTGGGCCTGTCTCTTCTGGTGACTATGGTGGGAGAGTGCCTCCCAATTCTGCTGGCGGGTTTCCTGATGGCTCGCAGTATGGCTTTCCTCCTCCCTCAGCGTTACAACCACAGCAACAACAAATTATGCCAATGGCGAGACCTCCTCCAACTGGAATGTACCAACAGCCCTATTATTGAGGTACTTCTGAACGCAAATCCATGTTTTTACATGTAGTTTTTAATGGCTATTTTGTGTTCAGTACGGGTTTATTAAATTGAATGATGGTATGAACTATATTAAACTTGTTTGGATAAACTTCTTCTGAGGAAAAAAAAAAAGAAGGTGAAATGAAATCAGAATTTCTCCCACAGGTTAAACTTAGTTCTTGTATAAACCTATTTTAGAGAAGTTCTCTTTCTCTCATTAGTTTTGTTTTTTCTTTTTTCCAGAAGTGGTATTTTAACTTAATTTATGGGAGAACTTCAATTCATTTTATCTTCTTATTTTTTCTGCTATAGGTGCTTATGGAGAAATTTACCCATTTAAGATCTTACTTGTTGATTGTAATTGTCTAGATTGATGGTTATAGATATTGAGTTTTGACAGTTGATTTGTTTTTAAATGTTAATGATTGGTTTGAGTTTTGGATAGGTGTTTCATTCAGGTTTTTGATGGCTTCTTGGGCGCTAATGCTTTAAATGGTTGTGCTGTTTCGTGCATGCAGACAATGAAATCTTTGGTTTTGGTTACATGGACTGCTGTAATTTGTTGCTGCTTCACTACCTCTGCTTCCTCTATGTGTTATGATTCCATATGTGATGGGTGTTAGTTGAAGCTTACATACATGACTTGGCGTAGTATTTGAGTGTAGTACGTATGTGGAATTTCTGTAGAACTTTTTGTTCCTAGATTTATTTATCTAGATTAGTTTCCACAGCTGTTGACTAAATGCCAAGGTGGTTGCATTAAATTTTGAAATGTCTTATTGTGGTTTATGTTCCTTCTTGCGTATATGTTCTTTGTGGTTGTCGAGGTTTTAACTTTAACTTCAATTCTTTTTTTTAACTTAATTGCAAGTATTTGCTTTGTATGGCAGAGCCCTAGATATATTTGCGTATTTTTTTAGATATTCTTTCCACTTTGTTCTATATTAAATTCAACAATCAAATCTTAATGAGTAAATAAAGTCTTTTAGATGCTCATTCGAGTTGTGTTAAAGATGAATTTGTTGTTGATTTGCCCTTAGATGGATGCTTGTGATATATTTGAGTTCTTTCTTTTTTGAAGTATACATTTCATTTACTTTTAGACTAATTCATCATCAAGTCTTAACAAGTAAACCACTCCACACAATTCTTTCAAAAAATGAATAAACCTTTAATTTCATCCCTGAAGTATTACTCTCTCTTCTAAACAAATCCTACAGTAAAAAAATTATGTAAGTAGAGAAACGTTATTTGTACAGGAATCTTTACAATGAAGAGAAAAGTGTGACATGTAATAAGTGTTGTGATTTGCTTTTGATTATTGTATGAACAGTATATCTTACAAGTCCCCCAAGTATTAGAAATCATGTTAATTAGTCTCCCAAATATTAAAATTGAGATTTGCTTTTGATTTGCCCTGAAATGGATACTTGTGAACAAAAGACCTTTGCAAAATGAATAAACCATTAATGTCATGCCTGAAGTATTACGCTATCCCCTAAACAAATCCTAAAGTAAAACAATTATATAACTAGAGAAACATTATTTGGACAACAATCTTTACAATGAAGAGAGAAAGAGAGAAGTGTGACATGTAATAAATGTTGTCATAGAGATAAATAGATGAACACCAAGTATGATGTATAAATTATTGTATGAATAGTACATTGCATAAGTAATCTCCCAAGTTTTAGAAGTCATGTGAATTAGTCTCCCAGATATTTAAAATCTCTTCAAATTGGTCCTTGGACATTAGTAAAAGATATCAACATAAGGATTAAACTAACCAATATTCAATACTTGAATTATTTATATAGTTTTATTACTTTAGGGAATAGGGACTACTTTTAGAGAGAGTAATACTTGATGAACCAAATTGCTGGTTTATTCTTTGAAAAATGCTAACCATGAGATTGATTACCTTGTTTGTTGTGAAATCAAAGCTCAAACTTGATGTGGCAATTGCCATGGTATAAACCCTTACTTTCTTATGTTAAATTTATCGATGAATTTTAATTTTAAGCTCTCTTTCTCTTCTTTGAGTCAACTCTCTGATAAAAGAAATTAACGCAAGGAAAGCAAGTGACAATAATTATTTCTTTGTAATTGGTGTTAAAAGTAGGGTATGTAAATAATAAGCAAAACAAAAAAAATGATGTTGGTTGTTTGCCTCGACTTGCATCGTGTTGCGGTTGAATATGTGGCATTTTTATAGGTTCTGGAGGGGATAAATATTTTTTGGGGAATAAGCAACTTGCTTTGCAATAGTTTGGTGTTTCTTTAATTGATCCTTTTTCTCCCGAGGTTCAACATCCTTTTGGTCAAATAAATTATTGTTTGTTTGTTTTCACTGGACGATTCTATGTTGATTTCTAATTTTGATGGCTTGTGTATAAAATCTTGTGAATGTCTATATTTGCTGCCTTTTCTAATGATTTTCGAGGTGGTTCTCCTGGTCTTTTTTTATTCGAAGTAGTTCGGCCAACACTGCATTGCTGTAGTCCTTCGAGGTTAGGACTTTGAATGCCATATGGTTTCCATTTGTTCATTGAAGGAGCCAAGCTATTCCTTGTATCATAGAGCGAGACAATTAATTTGTAACAATTTTGTAGTGAAATACCTCTTAGGATAAGTGTATGGGATTAGATGATTTAATATATAATATATTGCGCTTCATTTATTTTACAAGGTTACACATGCACGCAGCATTTATTTATTTATTATTGTTCTCCATGTTCATGTTTCAAATAAATAGATTGGATACTTATACGACTTAATAAGCATATAGATTCTATGCTCGTTCAGTTGTGAAAATGATTGAGACAACTTTTGCCTGGTGCAACTTCTTGTTGAAGATAAGATCATAGTGATTGTAATCAGTTGGAATTAGAATAGATACTTGTATATCGTGATAACAGCTCATTGCTCATGCTCAAGATTGACAAAACCTGGAGATTTTTCTTGCGGGTGGAGGGAATGGGGCCAAAATATTTGATACCATTCCTCCAGGCCCCAGGGACAAAACCCGTGTAGCGTTTCATATACGCATTACACGAGTATGGAATATATTATGCAGGCTTTTGTTTGATACTTTTTTTTTTTGATTTCTTTTGTTTGATACTTTGGTGTTTATGTTTGGGATTGGAAATAGTATGTTGTTTTTACAAAATAAGGGTGAAGAAATAGAATCGTTTTAGTAAATAACGTAATTCAGCTCTCATTGAATAAGTGTTTGATTTTTAGTCGTGTATATATATATATATATATGAGGGGATTATAATAACACCGGTGTAATTTTTACCAAGTGTTATAGTGCTCAATAATTTTATATTAAATGTGAATTTTGTAAATTCAATTGTTAGATTGAAAGTTCATATCACTTTATACGTGTATATCAAATTTTGTTAAAATTGAACAACTTGAAGGTGATCAAAGTGTTCATATTTTAATTTTTTTTGAAATGAATATATTATGTCAATTTTGTTTTATAAAAATGATGTATCAAATTATCTTGGATTAATATAAAATTTTGTATATATAATCTAAGAATAAAAAACTTTCAGTCTAACAATTAGATTTATAAAATTTATATTTAATATAAAATTATTAAGTGGTGTAATACGTAGTTAAAATTATATCGGTGTAATTATAATCTCCTCATATATATATATATATATATATATATATATATATTGAAGAAAAATTTATTTATTCTAGGAGTAAGTTTATTAAATTTATTATATTCAATAATTTATATTATATATCAAATTTTAATGATTAAATCGTTGAATTTAAAGTTTTTAATACATAAATTAAGTTTACAAATTTTTAATAAATTTGATGATTTTTAAATTTTTTAAAAATTTGTAAACTTAATTTATGTATTAAGAACTTTAAGTTCAACAGTTGGATCATTGAAATTTGATGTATAACATGAATTATTAAATAAAGTAAGCTTATTTAAACATACTTTTGGAATAATAAGATTTTTCTTTATATATATATATTAGTTTTTCTAATCAGTGCCTAAGACACTTTAACAATGATTAAAATTTACTATCAAATGTCTCTTTTTAGTATATTTATTATGTGAGAGAGTAATCAGTATTAATTTTGATTTTTAAAATTAATTTGATATTATTTTTAATCCTATCCTTCCATTTATTTTTTCACTCTCAATTATAATAATTAAAATAATAATAAAATAGATTTTAACAATATTTCATAAAGTATTAGACATCATTTCATGTCTTTTCAACTTTGTTATATTTTTATCGCTATTGGTTTAATAATATTTTATATTAATAAATAAAATATAATGTGATGACATTTAATAATTTTTTAATAAAATTAAAATTTGAATATAAGAATTAAAATAAATATTTTTAAATTTTAAAAATAAAAATATATTTAAATCAATTTTATTTTAATTTTTATACATGTTATTTTTTTTTAATTTTTAATTTTTAATTTCATAAAAACAAAAAAGTAATTTTTATAAAATTATTCATAGGCACCAGTATAATACTATAAAATGAAGATTATATTACATTGTATTATAATCAGTGAGGGATCCATAAATTTTAAATAATGAGAGTAATACTTATTTATATATTTGTAGCATTAAAATTTTACATATAATTTTTAGTATAAGTATATATGATAATTATTTTTTACAATCTTTTATATTTATGATTACGATTAAAGATGAAAATAAATTAGGTAAAATTAGGTTATATTATAATTTATTAGGTTTGAACATAATTTTTTTTAAAAAAATACATGTCATAAATATGACTTATTTATATGTCATATATATTTTTTAAATGTTTGGTTAGAACTATGATCCTAAAGACCTACTTTATAATAATTTAATACTAATAGAAACATAAAAATAAATATATTAAATTGTATAAAATTAAGTTTAATTTATTTATGAAATAAATATATTTTTAATATCTAATATAAATTTTTAGATCGTAATTTATTTTAAAATATTTTATAATAAAAATTCTAAATATAACATAAATCTTTCAATCTTTCTTATTTTAATTTTTTTAATCAGTGCATACAATCTTACAATATTTACTATTTTGATTTTTTTGATTAATGTATACAATAAATAGAAAGCATACAAAGTAAACATACATGTTACAAATTTTATTTTATCAAAAATTAATTTTTTAATATATTACATTATATATATGAGCATTAATATATATATATATATATATATATTATAATATCCATACTTATTTAAGTATTTTTAAGAGAAAATTTGATTGTTTATTCTATAATTTAAGGTGTGTTTATTCACACACCATGTCTATTATATGCATTTTAACATGACCAATAAAAATTGGTGGATTGATGTTTAATATTGATAGTATTTTTTTTTAGGTTAAATTATATTTTTATTTTTTATTTTATTTTTGAATTTATTTTAGTTTCTTACTTTTAAATATATTTATTTTTATTTTTATTAGAATATAACTTTTATTTTTTAAAGTATATTATTTTTTTGGATAAAAAAAATATGTATGTGTAAAACATGCCCCCACTCTCCTCTTATAACATCTATATAATTTGGAAATAATAAAAAAAATCAATAGCAACAAAAGCATAACACAGTTAAAAAATATATAAAATAATATTTAATATTTTAAGTAAAATATTATTAAAAATTTGTTTCATTATTATTTTAATTAGAAGTGAAAAAAGCAAATGAAAGGAAAAGGTTAAAAATGATATCAAATTAATTTTAAAAACATGAATGAAAGAAGTCATATTTGTTTGGGTAATATTAAAGTGAATATGGAAAGAGACTATTTTTTATTGGACATAAGAAGGTCACTCTGTAACAATTAATTGTTATATAGAAAATAAGATTTTTGTGTTTGTTTTCTACTCTGAAAATGAAAATTCTTCATTTATATTGGTCAAGACAGAGAAATATTGTAACAGGAAATATGCGATTTCTTTCAAGGTCACTTTTCCACGTAATATTCATTGTCATCAAATAATAGCACAAGTCGGGGAAAATTGTTAGCAGAGCAAACTTTTGGAGCTTGTGCTGATAACTAGGGACTTGAGCTTATTCGAAGAATCCCCACTTGCATTTGCTCTTTTAGTTATTATTTCCATATTTCTATGCAAGCTTTCTTTCACTAAATTCTTCATCATTCTCTTCCCTTCTTTTGTATCCCTTTGGTTCACAAGCAATTCCTTAGCATTTCTTGAACTTTGTGGGCCTGAATGTGGCCCCATCCTTCTTTGCCTATCATCCTTAAACCATTGCAATAATTTCAGTGCTCTCTTCTGAGCTAAAGAACTCCCTAATAAAGCCACTTCAAGAAGCACATGTACAATCCCTGATTGTGCCATTTTATCTCTCTGTCTTGTGCTTTTATGAGCTACAATAATCAAAACATAAGCTGACAACTCTTGGCATTTTGGTTCATCTTCCCAAAATAAGATCTCAATCAAGCTTTTTGGCACCATTGAGCTATTCTCTATAGCTTTCTTTCCCACTAAAGTCATTGCCAAGTTTCCAAGGATGGCGAGTGCTTTCTCTGAAGTTCTCTTCGTTGAGGACAGTTCCAAGAGAATAGGTACAACCCCATTTGAAATCAAAGGCCCTGCATTCTCTAACACGGTTGAGATGTTGGAGAGGGATTCCAAACATGTTTGTTTGGTATCAAAACTTAGCTTGAGTTGAGAATGTCTATAAGAAATTGGAGAAAGTGTAATGAAGCATGAGGAAATTGAGTGTTTTGTTTTTTATTTTCTCTTTCTTTTCTTCTCAACTCTTCCTCTCTTTTTATATTTTCCTCTTATTTTTTTCTTAGGTACTCTTTTAGTTGCCTAAGTTCATCCCTAACACTAGACCTAGTACTATATGAGTTATGACCATGGACACTAGAATGATCACTCATCTTTGATCCAAAAAGGTTTTCACAAAGTTGTTTTCAAAAAGGTTTGAAAAAAAGTTTTCACAAAGAGTGAGTGATAAAAGGTTTTCACAAAAAGGTTTTCAAGATGCAAGATAGGTAGGAAAAGGCCTAAGTGTACAAAGTGAACTATCAAAGGGAGGTGGACTACTAGGAATCACTTAATAACCAAGCCTTATCAAGTAATAATCACTAAGCCTTTTCCGTATCAAAGCTAGTTCAGGATCTAGGTCCTTTGGAAGATCTGTTAATTCATCCGCAATACAGTCAGGAGCTTGTAACTGAATAGTGAAACATTCTGCTATAGCAGCAGTATGTTGTAACCGACGGATGTGTTGGTACTGAGCCTGCTGAGGCAAGACAGGTCTCTCACCTTGCAATGTAATAAACTGATCATTCAACATAAATTTGAATTGTAAAGCACTATAATCAGCCACATGAGGACCTAGTGTAGATAACCAGGCTGCACCCAAAATCAAGTCAGCGCCTGCCACAGGTAAGAGGTATACAGGACAATGAATTTGATGGCCTTGAACGTCCACAACCAAATCAGAAATTACGCCTTCAGCTGTCATGGAATGACCATTACCCACCATCACCTTAAACTGCTCCGCAGGTTGAATTGGTAACTTCAGAAACTGAGCCACTCTTGGTTGAAGAAAATTATCTGAACTTCCACTATCCAAGAGGATTTTCACAGGATGACCTTTTAGCTGACCAGTGAATCGAA